CTTCCTCTTCGGCGCGCGCACGCGAGAGTGCGACTGCACATGCAATCGCATCTCGATGACCGTACCTGCCGGTGATTTAACGACTTGTCACCCACTTTATCAATTTACCGCCGCTGGAGACCACGGGATTACGCACGTAAACCGGGCATCCACGCTGTGTACTTACAGTTTCTACCAACCACCAAGCGTATCGGTTTAAGTAATGATTCTATCTTCGCTGCCGAACGTTATTGCCCCGAGACATTCATCACGCGTAATCTTGAATGGAACCGATTACGTCTCGCCCCTCTCGTCAATCAGAGAAACAATTAGCCGAAACACAGGAAAACGCTCAATCCTGTGAAAACAGTACAAGATTTCTCGAGAAAAAAAATACGTTACGAGGGAAGTTTACCCTTGGAAACTTCGACCGAACGGAGCAGAAAGGGCCCCGAAAAATGGTCGGGATCGAACAGAAAGATAAGGCGGGAACGGTGTCCCCGTGGTAATTGTCCGGCCATATGCTCGAAGTTCGCCCACCGAAACGGATGCTCGAAGAAGCTCGAGCCTCGATTACGCTTCTCTTAATTACAATATTTAAATTCAAGGACCATGTGCCTCTTCGAAAGACTCTCTTAAAAATATATCGGTAGGGCGCCCTTTTACGCTCGCGTAAATTCGAGAAAACTGTTGGCTAAACAGTCGGTTATCGCGATTCGACGACGATAATTCATTAGCTTAATGCGACCGCATCAGATGCGGAAACGCGTGCACCTACTGTTACGATTACTATTTCAGAAGCGAAATGAATTATTTTTTTCTCACACGCGAACAAGACTTTTTTATTGTAAATTTTGCATACAAATCTGCAGCCTGCTACTGACGCACTTCAACATATAATAATTGCATAAACGCCCACGTGCTTCCTACCGAAGTAATAAGAATCGATTTTGCGATTAAGAAATGCAAGGAAAAATGACGCGCGATCAAGCAAGGAGCCGTGGCTAATGCGTCTCGGCTTATCTTCGTTCGCGAACGACTTAATTACACGAGTTGATGCAAGTGCGAGCTTTTCTCATCGAGTTAACGAAGGTAACTAGGGGTGGCATTAGAATATCGCGTTTGGGAATCGCCGAGTCGTGCCGGACGGATGATTTGTCATCGAGTAGGTAACGATGCGGGGCGACAAATCTCGCCGATCAGCATTGATGAACGTCGATAATACACGATACTCGATAATGACGGGCTACCATCGATTATATCGTTTTCGGCACACCTGCACGCGCTATCCGCGTTATCCGAGTGCAATTAAAGGATTCGATTAACGATAACGCTTCCCTCACTTGCTCGTGTATCACATAATTTATTGTATCCTTAATCGTGAGTTATGCGGCCAGGGTTTCACTTTCCAACGCGCGAAAAGTCATTCGCGTTGAACTAGGTTCAGGCAATGATTAAAAAATGTGTAAGCATATAAGCGAGCAAACGTGAAAATTTGAACACGGGTGGAGTTGCGATCTTTCTGAAAATTGGAGGCTAATTTTTGAACACGCGCTCGTTTGCGCGAGTAAGCGTTTCGGTTCGCGCTTCGTGTTACCGAAGCGCCTTTTTCTGGTTCCCCGATTCATCCTGTCACGCGGGACTCGACCAACAGGTTTCGTCTTAATCTTCTTCGACGAATCTCCGCGTGGAAAAAGAAAAGATCGTTAACACGTTGCCAGCAGGAATGCCGCGGTACCTTGTACAGCGTTTCGACATTTCGACAACCGATTAGGCGAAATCACAGTTAATCGCCTCTCAGATTCATCTTTTCTCACCGCCCCCTGCGTTCTCATTAATAAACTTCAGTTTTTATAGATTTATAGAAAAAGTCGAATACAAAGAATGCATGTACTTAACGTGTAAGCTGGTAAAACTACGCAGAACATCAAAATTTTACTGAACGCAATACTGAAACTTTTTAAATCGATACAACAAAGGTTTTATTTGCATAAAAATCTGTGCATTCGTTAGCAGTCGTTTGCATGCTTATGGCAAACTTTTTTTTAACTAGTACGTAAAAACTACGTTCGTTACGCTGGTGGGAGAGGCAGCGGAGCTTCAAGATCTGGGAATAATGGAACTCCGCTGCCAATTTGTTAACTGTTTAACGTTCCCCCGTAAAATCCGGCATAAATTAAGGTTAATCGTCGTCGCTCCACACTGATTTTACACTCGAGCTCGCCACAGCGGGGCGAGGAATGAGGTTCATTGGATATTCTTCAATTAATTACGCCAGTCTCGCGTCGTACACTTACCATCCAAGTTTCAATTACTACGCTTTTTATGTATGAAAGATACGCGAAATTTTCCTTAAGCCGTCTAATTAGAATTTTCCTTAATAACGATAAATTCTGTAGTCAGGACGATTAATCGTAAGGGTACATTGTAGTTGAACATTTGCCTTACACGAAGGCTTAAAAGGGCATGAGCTTCCGTGCGCGCGTCTTCCCGAAGTTTAACCGGAGGCGCAACGCGCGCTCTTAGTGCACGCAACAGATAAAAGCGGTAGGAGCAAGATGGACGAAGGGAGGAGGGAGGCCGGAAGTGGGAGCAATTAACGATATAAGTGGTTCGCTGGTCTCGGAATGAGATAACATCGGCTAACTCGAGTCTAGCTCCTTTTCTCGAGACCGTTCGATGGGAAGATAGTGAGTTGCCTCGAAAGAGGCAGGTGCCTTTTGGACACATTATACGCTCTTACCTCGCCACGAACCTTCTTCAGCGTCCCCTTTCTTCGCGGACACCTTTTTCGCGACCAGTTCCCCTTGGTACAAGCGGAACGCTGGCGGCAATCCACGTTGTCCCCGAAATAACTTTATTTACCGCTTGTACCTGTCGTTAGTAATCGATCGATCGGTCAGCAGTTATTTGCATTTTATTAAATGAGCGTGTCGGTTAATTGCTTTCCGGCTTCTCTCACTGAGCGTAGATTCTTGATAAGCTAACAACTCTGCACAGTTTAAGAAAGTGGCAATCTTCTACGATCTTGGCTATACTTGTTTCAAAGTGACTTCTCAAAACGAACATGTTTACACATTATATTTTAGTTGGTTTTTAATCAATTTCAATTGATCGATGTATTGTAACTACGTCAGCGTACAAAGATACTGGTTAAGGAGACAGGCCGTGCGGTTTGGATCGAAAATACAACGGAGGTAAAGGACAGGATGCGGGGGCAGTGTAACGAGCGCGTACTTTTGTTATCCGGTGATTCTCTTTTGTCGCCAGTTTCAGGATGCAGAAGCCCGGCAAAAGCTCGATTTGACCGTGGGTTAACCACATCCTCTCCCAGCCCGAGTCCCTTCTTCTTCTTCGGTTTCCAACCACCTTCGGGAAACGAACCGCGTGGAACCTTCGCTTAAAAATAATACAAAACGAAACTGTGATTTCCTACCCGCTTTCAGCTAATAAGCGTATCCGTTCTCGGGCCGCAATTATGCAAACCGTGCGCGCCAAGCTTTCTTCGACCGTTTTACGAGGCACACGTTCGGCTCGGAACACATTTAACAGCGTGTTACGCGCTGAAACCGCTGTCCCACGGAAGTCGACTCTCGTTTTAAAGCTGGAAAACCATTATGGAAGAACGGCGATAAATGTATTTCACTTTCCAGACCGCGAGTCTTTCACTCGAAGATCGTTAACGAATTATCGCCGGGATCTCGTTGCCTGCTTCCTGTCAACCGCTAGCGTCTGAGAAACCCGTCAACGATTGTCCGAACGTCTCACGTAATCGCTACTTCCTACGAGAATCGAATTATTATTCTTTCCACACAGGTCTATCTCGTTAATTAACACGTGTTGCGCGCAAGCAACAAAACGTTTACGTGATCCCACAGTGTATCGTATGGACAGATCACAGATCTTATGCAGTTATAAAAAAAAAGAGTAAAAAATGTATATAATGTCTATAAATTTGTTAATGAATTCTTATTTTTTTAATTGAATTCATACTTTATTGAGATTCGTTAAGACTACGTAGCTGTTGAAAAAATATCAGAGGGCCACCGCTAACGGGGCTCGAATTAATTTCAGGTAATTGGGGATATACGACGCTCTGGCTACCCGTTTTACCCTAATAGGAATAAAATAAGCCCTTCGCGACGGTTAGCGCTCCGAGGCTGGCTCCTACATAATTGCTGCGTCGGCTGACCAACGCCGGAAATAAGCAAACGCGATTAAAGCCTCGAGGAGCATGCTGTCACGCTCCTCGAGTTTTACCTCCTTGCAAATTACCCACCTTCGGCCAGGGTGCCGAAAATTTCTGGCTTGTAATGAAGACGAGGAACAGACGGTAACGACCGACTTTACCGCTGGGATTCTTCCACGCGAGACCTCGTTAAAATCCGCGATTTTACCCGATGAAAGTTCCGCTTTGTTTCGTACTTTCTACGATGGACAGCTTAGGCATTACTCAACTATCTCGATTAGCCGTAAGTGGATACGCGGCTCGTTTACTTATGTATTTAAGCCGCAAGACGCGAAACGCGATCAAACGGTTTACATAAGTGTGCGTATGTAAATGGGGAATGCAAATAGGCGTGCGCAGGCATTAACCCGACATCACGAACGCCGCGGAATATGCATTGCCGCGTGGTAAACAGCTCGGAGAGGGCTCGTTTAATGACCAATCTGTTGTCGGGAAATAATCGATGTATACGAAGGAATTCGATCGGTTCGATCGCGATAAGAAACACCTTCTCTTCCTTTCATTTCAACCTGCCATCGCCTCCGGTCCGTATGCGAGAAGAAAGTGTTAATTCAAGAATTCAATTAAACTTTACGCTGATGAGATAATCGTCTAAATAATGAAAAGTCGCTTACGTTTACTTGTTACGAGCGTTTTGCGCACAGACAAGCAATCGAGACGTTACTTGCTACATTGTCCGTATCGATAGCATCTACATATAACTTTATGAATACTAACGAACTTATTATAGGGAGGAGTGGATTGATGGAATTAAATAACGAAATCGAAAGCGTTAAATTTAGTATAATGTATTTTCCATATAATAATTCTCGCTATACAGACATTATTTTACAAAGCATGGTTTTATACTAAGTACCTCTTGCTGTATTTTCTTGAAACTGAGTCGCACGATACGTACCGTGGGACCAAAAGTGTTCGCCTTACTTCGTACACACCTGGTTTCAACCTAATTTTATACATTCATAATACTGGTATTTCTTCGGCGAGCGCGTGACGTGTCCCCAATGTCAAATCCGATACTTTTTTCGTTTAAAAAAAATCCTAAGTTAACCCCTTCCGGTACGATTTAATAATAAACCTAATGACGAGCTAAACTCGTCATTTTACCGGAAGGGGTTAAGCCCCTTTTTCCAATGCTGAATAACCTGAGTGCTAAGAACGCTATTTAATAATTTTACATCCAAAGTAATTATAATTCCTCATTGGAAATAATATTAATTCTCTTGTATAAACACATGACTAATTAATTGTTATTAAAAATAGCAAGGAATTAGAGTTGGCAACGTGAAAGCGCGACTTAACTCGGGCAAAGCATTGAAATGTTTCTGATAATGAATATCGCAACGGTCTGACGGGTCGAACACGTCCACCGCGTTCTTCTACGTATACTGGAATCTGAAAAATACTTCGGAATATCTTGTTATCACGGTTGGCTTCGATTTACGCTCTAGAAATACCCGCGGATTCTCGACTCGTCCAACCGGCCTATTCGACGACTTACGATACGACTTCGTCCTCAAAACGTAGACGGCTATTTACAACTGTTGTTCCGCCGGCCGCGCGAAAATTATACCGACGTCGCGTTCACGGCGAATTAAACTAGCAGTATTTACAAACGGGATCCATTCCCGTCCCATGTCGTTCACGAGGAGTCGCGTCGATGTCAATTCACCGATTCCCCTCGAACGGCAAAGTGCCAGTTTCACGGGTCATTCGAACAGTCCTGTTCCTCTTTTTATTCAGCCACCGGGTGTAATTTCGTGTCATTTCGGATTTCTGCCCCCGCAGGCAGGCTCCCCCTAATGTCATATTAATTGTAGATTCGCGTTCGTGCGCGCGATCGGCCCGTTTCCTGGCGCGACTCCAGCCGCTCCCGATGGTAGGTCTAGTCTCGAACCTATTCTTTATCCCTTACCCCTTCCCAGACAGGTGAATAGTGTTTCTTTTTTTTCTTTATTTACACCGAGGAAAGCAGCCTCGCGTCGTTCAACGACAGGCTTTTACCGTTTCGCCGGTGAGATTCACGATCCGTGCGAGCGTTACGATAAATCCGTCGACTATGAGTTTACATCGAGTATGAATACTGTTTCACCGTCGAGTTAAATGTTCAAATCGCGAAACTTTGGTTAACCACATAATACTTCCTCCGTCCTCATTATCTAGGGAATCCCGGACGTCCCGTGCCATGTCACTTCCTGTGTACCTCACGTCCAAATCCACCGTTTACGCAATGTCCACTGACGTGAATTCTAGTAAATATCGATCGACCAAAAATCAGATACATCCCTGTCCATAGTCAATAGCTATAATATTCGTTCTTCGCCCACCAACTATTCAATGTTCCTCATTGTGCCAATAGACGTTCGATTTTCCGTTTTCTAGCTGCTCTATGAAGGATCATCTATCTCTTCATTGCCACTCACTGGAAGTTGATATTCCTCAAACGCGTCAACGTTCAATTAATCATAATCCTCACGGAACGAACCGTTTGATCGATCCTCGCGATCAAACTCGACACGGTTCGATAATTTTTTCGTTTCAGCCTCCAAATCCTAGATATCATGTATACTCTCTTCGTCGCTATCCGCTCTTATACTCTGCGGACTGTCCTCCCTCTTCGGTGAGCGACTAGTGCTCCTGTCCCTCTGTCTCGTCGCCCTCTCCCTGTCTCTGCCTTCGATCATATCCGGACTGTCTCTATAGTAGCTGCCTAGATTCGACATGCCCGAGTTGAGCGATCCGATGGTGTTGCTAGGTCCAGCCTGGAGCATCGTCGGAGGATAGAGCCTGTCATCCTTGCACATCGGAGATCTCTCCCTTAAAGTGGGACTCCTGCTTCTATCCCTCTGCCTGGACCCTCTGTCTCGATCTGCCACTTCCGGACTATCTCTATAATAATTGCTCAGATTCGACAAACTTGAACTAGCAGTTAACGTCCCAAGAGTGTTGCTGGAACCCGGTTGAACCATCGTGGTCGCGTACAGTCTTTCCTCTTTCATCACAGGACTTTTGCTTCTCTCCCGCTGCCTGGACGATCTCTCCAAGTTCTCCCTGTCTCTGTCAGCCATCGTCTCCGGACTGTCTCTATAATAGTTGCTCAGATTCGAGAGACTAGAGCTCGCCGTTAAAGATCCGAGAGGGTTGCTAGGTCCGGCTAGGATCATCGTGGGCGGGTACAGTCTGTAGGGAAGCGGCTTCTGCAAGGTGACAGCAGCTGCCGACGCTTGCTGATAGAACAGACCGTTCGGCAGCGCGTGTGCGCTCGGGTACGGCCAGTAGCGTCCTGCCGCCGCGGGGTGCGCGGGAACAGCCGCCGCGCCGCTTCCGTAAAGCTGCTGGAACGCGGCCACCGCGAAATTGTTCTCCGCCATCATTTCAAATCCGGTCAACGTCTGCCTCTTCCATTTCGTCCTGCAAGAATAGAAAAACACACCTTGAATCGTACATATTGCCAGGAGCAAAAATTGTTACAGTATACCAGCAACTAATTTATCATATTTAAAAAAAACGTCAGAAAATCATTTGCCTGTTAGAAATGATTAGTGTAATATACGTATCTTCGATCGTAATGCGGTAGCATGCTCTCAAATTCGAAACGATTAGGTCCGAGGCAATTATTCATAGCTACCCTTTGAAACACGTCGCGTCAGGGGCTAAATAAAAATTACTCGCGACTTTTTACGATTTCTTCGAATCCCACCCCCGCCAGTTCGATCGCCTCTCTCGATCTCTGTTCGCGTATGTAAATCTCGATCTGGGACAATTACCGCTACGAACCGGGGTGGCGTGCCGCCAAGCGGTTACCGTTGGCCACACTGTCGGCGGGCTTATTATACTAACAAATAGCCCGTGGAGTTTCACTGGCTAATCATCGCCTATCATGCCACGTGCGCGAGTTCCTTACGTCGACGTCAAACCGCCGTTACAGGCCCTTTTACTATATCTTTGATTGGAATTTAAAATATAATTAATCGGGGCACTGCAAGTTATAATTATTGATGCATATCAATTTAAAAAATTAAATTCAAATTGCGTGGTGTGCATTATACTTTTGATGTTTTACACACTTTTACATATTACTTGCATTCCTCTGCACGTTCTACAATTGCATAAAATCTATTCATGGAGAATATACATCTGCTTATCAAACAAAAGGACAGCACTTGACACGGGTTGAATTAAAAAACGAATAACGATGCAATTTCGTAATTACGGAAGTGTAAATGAAAAGGATCCGCACTCGATGATAATAGACTGTCTGAATTGGACCAATTACGCAACTGGTTGCGTCGCGTTGCGCGTAATTATTAAAGAGCGGAGATGAAAATTACGGTCTCGTATCTAAGCCGACACGTAGTGATTTAGCTCTCTCGCTCGAGTTACAGTGTAGTACTCTCGTTTGTTATTACTGTAAACGTAATCTTATACTGCATTGTCGTGCCGTCGCGAACGAAACTGAAAACGTTGTAACTTGAACAAAGATTATCTATTCATTTATGTATAAACGGACTAATAGTTATTTTCTTACAAAATATAGCAACGTGAAACATTGAAAGGAAAAGAACATTTGAATTATGATTGATTGTACATTAAGTATGAAGAAAAGATAATTAAAACAATGTTAGTAATAATAGTAAAATACAATAATAATATAAAACAAAACATGATCCAAAATCGAGACGGTCACACCTGTTACAACTGTCTCGAAGAGTGCATGAGTGCATGTAGTACAGTAAATATTGATTGTATGTATGTATGTAGTCTCCATGTTTATTCCAATAATTAGTATAAAGTGAGCAGTGAAAATTAAAATTATATTGCACAAACTGGGTGGTATTGCATAAACTAGGTTAGTATACAGTATACATAGTAAAAGCGAGAGGCTGTCAGTTGTAGAGATAGGACTTTAATAGCATCGACGGTATCATTAAGTGTATCAAACTGAGAGCAATAAGTACTGATTAATCTTAGCTGCAACTCTGGCCATAACATTGAGATGTTCGAACCTTAAGATATATCTTTGTTGAAGAAATAAGTGTATAGCCCTAAGTCGCGCGTGAATTAAGTTTAAACTACTCCTATGGAATGAGACAATGTATAGTATCTAGGATTATATTTCGAATGAAGACAAACTCAGCAATAATTCTCCCATCGTGCAAAGTAAGCCAATTATATAACCGATTTATAGTCAGTAGTCATGATCAAATCGGTTCATGAGAGAGTCAGTAAGCATAGAAAGACATAAGAATTTACGATATTGATGAAGTATCAATTTAAAAACTGAGGTATATAAAGTGTTTTTATTATTCAATTAGCCTTTAATATTCTAATATTTCTGCTTTACATTTTCCTATAAATGCATAAAGTCAACAGTTTAATTATAGGTATGAATGCCGGGACGCGTTGAAAGGTTAATAAAACTTTGAAATCGACGTAAAAATAATTTGAATGCGGAGCGAGGTTCGTTAATAATTTAACGGCAGTTATACGGGTAATCGATCTCCGTTTAATACATGCTCATGGGCCAGTAATCGGCGATCGATCGGTCGATTCGCTCGCGTTAATTACCGCGCGGTTGATAATTAGAAAAAGCCGACGGGACGAAATCGGCAATAAAATTTCGGTTAACCGTTCTGCCGCCGTCGCTGACGGAGCGTCACGATTATCCGCGACGATAAATCAGTGGAGCGCGTCGAGTTGCCCTCTCAATTAAAAGCGGGCGATGAGAATTTGGGACAATAATTAACGAGCGGGCATTCGTTACGTTTTTCCATAAAAGCCGCCGGTGCGGTGGATAAAAATTAAACGAAATAAAAAAACAAAATAGGAAAAAACGTTATACCTTCGAAACGAGGCCGCGGATTTTTTTCGAGAGAGGGGGAGGGGGTGTGTGTGCAAGGGAGGGTTGAAGTTCGCTGTCATGGTAATTAATAATCAGGAGATCCGCGGCTGGCAAGGGACAAAGCGGCTCTAACGGATATGCAGCTCGCACGGAAAATTCGACAATTAATATATTTCGTGGGGTGCATCCATTCGTGCCTCTGGTTCTCGGTGCGCGTGCATCCGAAAATGTGGGCCACTCTCTCACTCTCTCCCTCTCCCGATATACCCCTGCTTTTGTGACGGTCGACGATATAGGGGAGGTAGCAGTAAAATCGTTCATGAATTTTAAACAGGGCCTCTGAATCGAGCCACGATCATTTCTCATTTTTCTGCCGGCGCGAAAGGAGACCAACCCGATACGCGCGCGCGAGAGAGAGAGAGAGAGAGAGAGAAAGAGAGAAGAACCGAGACGACAAGTTGCTATGAAAACCACTCGTGCGATTATATGATGAGTAATGTTTTTTAATACCCCCGCTGCCGGGAGGGGTGGCCGGTCATTTTCGAGTGCAGCCACTCTAAAACACCCTTAATTGCTGCGCCGGGCTCTTTGTATCGGTATTGAATAACTGCGGGAGAGAGGGAGAGAGACCGAGGGTCGGAAGTAGCTACGGAAAGAGCAAGAGTCATTGATTTATCGTTCTCGAGAGGTTACCGAGGGCTGGCTCGATCTTGCCTCGAATAAAGCGTGAAGGGTGAACGGGGTGAGGGGTGTGGCGTCAAGAAAGTGTAACGATCGTTTTCATCCGAGCTTAATGATCGTCGACTTTTCGAAAGGGAACGCGACGATGGGAAACGTTCCTTTCGTTAGTTTACTACTTCTACTATACTTCCAACGACTTACGGTCTATCAAAAGATCTGACAAGTATTCCAAATCACAGATTATTTAATTTGGTACATTGTAAATAAATTACATAATTATAATCATGTAAGAAATCATAATTCTGCATGTGCATAATATAATTTAAAAGACTTACAAATGATGATACGCAATCGCGATGGGATACGAGACTACGTGGGACACGAGTGGATCGGCACCTTTACTGAGGAGGTAGTCAACGGAAATTTTTGCTCCCGACACCGAACCGTGGGTATCGATTATTTAAACAGAGCAGGAATTATGCACACGAAAGAGTTTACTTAAACGAACGCGATATAAAGGAGTTACGCGAGTCGTGCACGGTTAGAATTAGGGGGGAAAGAGTTAATGCATTTATAATGGTTGTTTGGGATTGTGTGTGTTACGTGGCCGGTGGTTTTGCGGTTGCGAGTCCTCGCGACACTAATGCAGCCAAGCTGTCGGCTCGGTTTGCGATAATAATGGCGACAGACAGAGAAAGGAGCGGTGAATAGGGCGACATATTTTCAAATTATTATACGCTCGACTGACTGCGGGACACATGTTCCGCCAGGATAGACGGGTGAACGTATCAATTTTGATCCGTGGTACAAAGGACAAACGGAATCGAAACGAACCGCAGACGAGTCGCATTTTACGTAATGAGTAGATGTTTTGCGCACTCGTGCTCGTAGCACGAAATTTAAAAAAAAAAAAATTGCCGTTCACCGTTCAAGGGGTAACTGGTAACGAGCCGAGGAAATAACGATACCACGCTTTCTCGGTCCGAAATTGCCGTGCCACTTTGTTAGTATTTTTAGATGGGTGACTTTAGCTGGAACGTTATAAACGCGCATGCAAATGTATCGTTATACCAACCCCGAACGGTTATCGGCTCGGTTAGCCTCGTTTTTCTACTCGTTTCGCGAAATTCCGTGTGTGCACTTGAACAGCGCGTCGTCGCCGCGTCGTCGGTTTCGTGACACGAATTTTTCTCTAGATGCGTGCCGCGAAACGAGCGCATTTGACTAGCCGAGGGGAAATCAAGACGATCCGTTATAAAGCGGTTTTACTAGAGGCGTGGGAAGCTCGTGTGTTCTTCCGGCTGGTGAGGAGAAACAACGGAGCTCGCGGGATTCTCACGATTGCGATGTATCACGACGCGTTAGCGATGTCGCCACGCCGTGTTACGGCGCAACGAAAAAAGGATTAGAGAAAGAGACACCGCGCACTGTTTCTTGCATGTTTCTTTCACCGGTAGCGCGGTAAAATTTGCACCTAATTTACTGTTTCAATGGAAATGTTTTGCGCGCCTCTCTCTAATTAACAGATCGCCTCGGGTGAGCCTTAACAGCGCCTCCGCTTTAGGTAAATTGCTATATTTACGGGGGCTTTCTCCTCAGTGATATTTCTTTGCCTCACACTTATGCGCTTCATTCTTGAAACAATTGGTTCATTAATTTAACCAGCGATCAACATGTGCAATGTGTAACATTCAGCGTTTCTAGTTTCTCGTTTGAGAAATTTTCGGCGTGTGAATTCAGCCCTGACAGACCTCTCTATCTTCACTATCTTATTTAACTGTCCCTGACGAGAACTTTTTGACCACTGCTTCAGTATAACATTGAACAAGAACGCAAAGGAAATATCAGAACAATCGATTTGTGCATTCTGAACAGCTATTAAATAGAAATAATACGGTATGTTTCAGGTGTATGCACGTTTGCGTTCCGGCATAGGATCATCGATAAGAATGGACTCCACGTTTGAACAAAAGGTAAGCGAATGAATCAACATCGTAATTAGTCTTTAGCGCGGAAATAAAACTAGCTCGGTGCGCTAGCGTGTTGGAGGGTAATTTTTAATTTGCCGGTTGCGTTATCGGTATCTCATTATCGCCACTCCGTGGCCCGTTATACACGTATCATTCTTACCAGTCTTGCCTCTTATCCAATGTGTACACGAGTATATCTCTGCGCGGTAAAATATTATAGCGTGTTCACGGTCGATGGTGTTTAGCGTTGATGGCATATAACGAGCGCAAAACCGTGTGAAGGATTCTACCGTACCCACGACAATCCTGTGACGTTTTCACTTGCTCGTATTTTCGTTTGACGGTTCTTCCTTTCGAAACGTGACGAAATATTTCGTTCCACTTAAACTTCTCTTACGTTCAATCGAAATGACTCAAACATTTTCCCTCTTAGCTTCAATTTTTTGCCAATTATTAGCATAGATTTAAGTTGGCATCCGCTCAGTTTTATCCTTTCATCTTTGTATACGCGTAAGTTGAATGCATAATGCGAAATTAATTAACAAAAGTTGAAAACGGTATGTTTGAAATGAGCATGGATAAAAGAGTGAATGCTTTTAGACCGGAATGTTTGACGTTAGTAGATGTATAATTCAATTCGCATTACTGTGTTCTTGCCACCGGTGGTTTCATAAAACTAAAACATCAGATTTGGTAGCAGCGAGGCGTGTTCTGCCCGCGGGACTCGGGTTTCTAGAGTATTATGCGGTAGCTTAATGCTGTTATAGTTTACGGCTTACGTTCTTCAAAATTGTTACTATTCTTTCCACAATATTATTCAATGTGTCATAATTGATTTTCTTATAAAATCGATGTGTAATTCAATCATATTTGATGAATAATCATTCAAATTTTATTCATATCGAAAACGTCTTGCAATTCATTGATTTCCACATTGCATCACATCAGTTGATGATTAAATTGTAACAGATAGTAACTGAACAATGTACGTAGAAAGGATGAATGTCGTCAGCAAAGGGTTAAGGCCGTGATTCTAATTAAAGTTAATACGGCTTCGGTGGTCACGTGTTCTCAATAAATCCACGCGTAACAACGTAAACCTCTAGTCCGCGCGTGCATTTATACGCGCCCGAGCGCGTAAATAAATCTCGATGCCCGCGAATTACATAAACGAGCGGGTTCGCCTGAGATGCATTAGAGCGCAGTTTCCGACCGAAAGCGCGAACGTATCGCCACTTATGGATCCACCGCGCATAATTAACCGGTAAGTAGCCGGCAACGTAACGAGTTCTAACGACTTCTAAGTATGCACGTTGCGTACGCGGTCCCCGGAAGAAGTGCGAATGCCTCGTATCGAGATTTGCCTTCGCAATTTAAACGGTGATCGATTCCGGAAAACGCGTACACCCCCTTTCATAAAATCTTTAGCTATATTACAAAATGAATGTATAGATAGAGCAGAATTTCAAATATCACATTCATCGCATTAGTATTTCTAATAGTCAATGAAAGTTCTCTTAAGATATGAAACTTTATAAAAATTATTCGTGATTTATCGTACGATTTGTTACATTGCTTACTACATGGTTGAAACTATATGATTTACTGTAATCTTTCAGATTGTCAGACTTTTTGATAGGCACGTGGAAGTTGTGAGATTTGTGAACGGAGGTGTACGATGAAAACCGTAAAGCCGGCAAGCTTTAAACGCCTACTTACCTATCCTGCCACCACGGGGATCCGGGATTTACTCAGGGTAAATAGTGGTCGTGTCGAGTATTCATTACCGGCGACGACCTGTTTCGTTTTACCGGTTCTGCTTGTTTACCTTCGCGTCGTTTTTCGCGATCTCGTTACCAACGATTTGCGAATCGCTCTCATGCCGCCTAATTATCCCCGTTCATTCCCAGAATTCATTCCCTGTTGGAACAGTTTTCAAGCAGTTTTGTAGCGTAATAAGATTGAAATTAATGATACGCTGAGATAGCATCTGTTTCGAAATAGATGTAAAACATATGTAGAATTATTGCATGTAACATATAAACTCACTTGAGATTGAACTTAGCACTAGCTATTACAAGACTCACAGTTCGTGTTTTAAAACCGTTTCCAAACAAAATGTTTGTAGACCAGACAGCGTTATAGAAAAGGGAGATGAAACACGTCGTCGCCGTGGCGCCCGAGGTGTGGTCGAGGCGCCTCCGCGAGAAAACGCCGAGTCACTTCGGTGTGCCGGGCACTGTACACGTAGGGAACAACAAAAGTTTAAGCGGGCACTTAAGAAGCCGGCCGACAGAAGCGTCACTAATTTTCCCGGTCTTTTTGCAACCCGTAATAGCCATTCGCTCTTTCATCCGAACCAGCGATAATCATGGCACGCGTATCGCCGATTAATTAATCCTGTCTGATTATTCGTAACTATCGTGTTTATTATCAACACCGAGATAATTACAAATATCTGAAGAGTAAGAAGAATTTCGTATACATGAACGAGAATGCATGACCGATCTTTTTATGATCCTTGGATTCATTATAAAAATCGAGTCAATTTGACGAACCTCGGGAAACTAGCTGTGATTATAATAGATTAACAAATGGAACGCGTGATACGCGATTAGGATTGCTCACGAAACCGGCTCGCAATTAGTCCCAAAAATCGGAGCGGTCACCGAAATTCGGTCTGACGTCTGTCATTACGACGTTCGCTCGGCTCGTAATTGACAGTCTAATGGCACGGTTTTCAAGCCGACGATTGTACGTGATGCATCACGAGGTCCTCATTAACGATTCCCGCTTTCTTTGTGCTCGATTGGGCCGCTTGTCCAAACTAAACGGGCCAGCATGCGGTGGAACTCGCAGAGTCACGAGTTGTGGGTGTTCCGGAGCTAATCAGCGTTCGAGGGTGCCGTAACGAGAACGAAGATTGCCGTGAAGTTTTCGGAACTCGTTCGAAGGAAATTTGTTTTTTCGTGGAAAGTAAAGCGTCACGCGAACCCGTGTCAACCCTTGAACGTCCACAGAAGCTTCGCTTCGCGGCTCTTTGAATATTCCTTTATACATTAAGTCGATTTGAAATTCACATTTTCTATACATTCGAAAGACAGTGCAAAGAAGACAAAGGGTTCTTTCAATGCCTTCGTATTAAAATTCAAACGGCGAGTTTAATTGAATTTAAACTCCTTTCGTTCGAAGGATGTTTCCCTGAAAAACAAAGCGAGGCCTGCGAATATAATTTTCCTCGGTAGATCGGAAGCATCGAATCGTCGTGACTAACGAGCGTGATGGGAAAAGATGATGTGAGTATCGACAGGACGAAATTGCAGGCGCCACTGAATGACTCGGTAGAAAAACGGTGCTCGGGCACAAAGAATGCCGCTGAAAATCCTGAAACTGATTCTCCTTCCGTTATCTTTTCATTCAAAACACTCGACTTCCCTGTATCTCTCAAATTGATCAATTTGGTCGTCCAGTTTTCGAGTCACAATATACTCAAAAGTAAAGTCAGTTTTTTACAAAGTACATATCCTACGGTTTCGTGGCAAAAAGCGAGGTTCACGGTTTTTTAAATGGATCGTTCACGCTGCCGCGATTACCAGCGTTCGCGGGGCTCACCACATGACTTTCGAGAAGCCCGGAGCGGTCGGAGGAACGTCCGGTGATCCTTTGCGTTTAACCACATAAACAGCGGCCTTTGTTGGCCGCCGCGATTTCCATTTACGGATTCGATACGCGCCGTCACGAAAGCCCATCGCCGCTACGCTACTCATTCCGTCCGGCTTGATGAGGAGCATCCCCCAATTGACATGCACACACGCTATCGAACGCGTCGATCGAACTTCTTATCTCCTCCCGTTCACAAAGTCAATCCATTGTCCATCCCGTTTTCATTTACCGGTACCGTGATTCGCACGTTTCATTGTTGATTGCTTATTAAACTGTTAGGACAACCTTTTTTCCTTTAGATAAATCTTGATAAATCATCTCTGAAGTTTTTCCTTCTCAATGCAACTGTGTGTATCGATTGAGGAATGATGTATTGTAAAACAAGAGTGAAATATTTCTCTGTATCAAAGAATTCCGAGACTGACAAATGTCTTGTTTATTCCTGAAGAATGAAGTCTTGTTTATCACGTCTCGAGATTATCCCCATGTCTGATCTATCATAAATCTTGTGGGAGTTTTAATCCTACCTTCTGTTCTGGTACCACGTCTTGACTTGGGTGTCGGTCAGTTGTAGCTTCGCTGCTAACTCCATCCTATCCTGCACGCTCAGATACTTTTGCCGCTCGAAACTCTTCTCGAGCGTCTGTAACTGATGATCCGTGAAAGCCGTGCGCGCCTTTCGTTGCTTCTTGCTCTGCGCCGAGCTGAGCGCGTTCGACGACGAACCCTTCGGGTCGTCCTCCTTGCCGCCTGCAACAATCACGATTCAAACAGTTTTAAAATTTCAATTCTTGCCAATATATAAAAGTATTTCACATACATTTCATTGTTCCTTAAGAAATCAACTCTTGTTAAATCTTTATAACAAACACATTGTACTCTGTATGTGGGACACGTAGTCGAAGCAGTATTTAAATTCGTAGTCCAGAAAAATAAAAATCCCGAAATGCTTGTTGTTGGAATGAACAAACTGTCTACCCTAAATGTCTAGGTATGCAATTCAACAAAACATACAATATCTATTTCTTCATGAGGTGTGCATCGTCAATTGTGTTAGAACAAGTAAAAGTCGAAGGGTTGGGTTTTAGGAAAGGGTGAATTGTGGATTGATGGAAATCCGTAGGGCAGGGAATCGATTCGGTGGCGTACTTGTTTTTTTGGTACCCCTGCATGGCGATCAGGGGACCCAGCCTCTCTCGTTCTATCGGCGGAGATCCTTTTGTTCTCAGTTCGAGTCCGCGCAGCCGTGAGCCGATTGGCTGGTATCGCGGATTGGACCACGCAGCCGCGTCGAGACGTCGCAAATTATCCCCCCGTCGGCACCCACGGAAGAGGGTGGGATTCCCCGAGGAAACCGATTACACCCGATACACGTCGGCAAGTTGCTTCTCTTCGCGCCACACATATACGCGAATTAAATCTGAACTTACACCCCTCCCGCATCTCGCCGCCCCTGTTTGTCTTTAGTATCGTCAGAAATTTTCAGAATGGAAGAAAGTAATGATTCGTTTCGTATTCAATTTGTCCCAGTAAACAATTATCCTCTACTTGCTGGCCTGTGAGCCTCAGGAAGGGATGAAGTATCTATCATTCATGGGTGGAAGCGAAAGGTCGTGGCCTGATAGACGGAATTACAGTCGATGGAGTATCCGTTCCGGTGCAAAATTGGAGTGTTCGTTGGAAAAGTTTCGAAGTGAATCCCGCGAGGGTTTCGCCGATCGGTAGTGGTATCCCGGGAGAGACGGTCTGCGGGCTTCTAAAAGTATCCTAAAGGACCGTTGTCGCGAGTTCATCGATTGGAACGGTCGTGGGTGGTGCGGAAGAAGCTGGGTAGGGAGGCTAGGGGAAGGGAGGGAGAGAGTCAGGTTGGCGGAGAGCTGGATCGAGTTAACTCGAACGAAAGCGTGGCTCTTAGCCTCCGTTTGATCGGCCAGATTCGCTCGAACGGACCCGGGACTGGTCCGCCATACTGAGAAACATGGCCGACGATCCCTCAGGAAAGGGTCTCGCGAGTTTCATCACAGACTGCGGGAGCCGCGGGAAACGGGGACGAGGCAGGCGGGTTGAAAACGGAGGTTGGGAAACTAAATTTATATACTATGTGATACACTTAGAGCGCGAGTCTCGACCGACGCGAGTTCTCCTTTTTAGACACTTCCAAGACGTTGCCCGGGAACTCGTTCAACCCCTCTGGTATCTCGACGGCGGAGAGTTTCGAGTAACTCGAGAACTATCGCGGAACAGTCGTCTCCTTTCGTCTTCTCTTTCCTCTTTTTCCCTTCTGGAGAAATGCTCGTTCCACGTTTCTTCTGCCGCTTGCTCCCGCGGCACGTACACCTACATGCCGCCGCCGCCGTCGTCGTCGTTCCTCGCTTTGTGTGTTTCACTTTGCCCTCGCCCGGTAATAGAAACCGATGCTCTCCCGGAGGAGTTTCGGAAAAACGTTTTCGCGATTTTCCGTAGAGAAAACGGTGAGACGATACAACAAATATCGTATACTACATCCCCTCTCGGATTAACGACCGGTTTAATTCGATGAAAAATGGAAGAGACTCTACGTACAATATAACCCAGAGAAACATTTCAAAGTACTCATTTTTCTTGTCTCCCCGTGACAGTATTCTTTTAACTTCTCCGCCACCTATTCCCATCGCAAGATGCTTCGCGTTTCATACACTTTTTCGCTCCTCTGAAACTTCCGAGCAAACACCATACATCTTGTCTCTCCGCGGTGGTTCATCCTTCATAAACTTTATTGTTCTCACGGTGGAAGTTTCTTTGATAATCGATACGAGCGCAGAAAATAAAGATATCTATCCGTCGCGAAGACACAGAACGGAAGAGATAAACGACACAGATTGCTTGCGAATTCGTTTCAAAGGGTTACTTTAATTGCGTTCGTACGGATAATTGCCGCAATGGACATCAGAGGAATAGCGGCACCGGATGCGGCGACGTGTACACCGATGAAAATTGTCGCGCTTCGCGCGCGAGGGGCTACGGGGAGGGATGGAAGAACGAGGGCCTCGCGTGCTGCACCGACGATATACGCGCGGTGCATAAAAGCGAGATTAACAGGATGTTTATCGAGCAATTATTCGCTGCCGCAATTAGTCGTTGCACGGTGCCGCGTCGCGTCGCGTCGGCCAGACCAGGTATCGTCTTCGTACGGCGAAACGCGACACCTGCGAGATGTACGCCTGATTAATACGAAACCGACATACATAGAGTCGTCACGTCGACAATAATGTTTTTCCCTCGTAAAAGATCTTTCAAATCTCGATCTTTCCTAATGTCGCAATATGCAATTTCAGTGGTCAAAGTTAGTAACTGTGCGTACCTTGAAGTTTTTGAGCAAAAGCCTTTTATTCAGCGCTATTACGTGTTTTACAATGGATCCACATTCCGTTGTTAACGGCACTGCGGCAGCTTTGCGGATAAAAACACACACCTGCGGACCGGTTAACCACGTCGTGGCGAAATAAAGCAGTGAGCAAATAAAATCGTCGCGCACAATGGAAGGAGCTACGGCTACCCTTCCGCGAGCCACCCCCCTCGTTGCCTCGTGTTTCTTTCCAGCTATCTCCGCCCGGTCGTAAACCAGGCCAAAGCAACGCTTTGCGAAACTTTTATTATCGCCGCTTTTACGATCTGTCCAGGATAATTCGAGGCTCCCTTATCGCGATAGTTACGTTACAATCTCGCTATTTGTTCGTCGTAAATAAATATAATAGTTGATTAGGAAGCAATTATTGTTTATCGGATAACAAGACAATTTGTTCAGACTTTCGGGCAAATAATATGGAATAACAATTTATTGGAGAGATAAAAGCTCTATTGAGATTTTTGACGGTCTACCATGTCGTTAAAAGGATATTTAATTAATCGTTTGGCTATTGAAGTATTTTAGAAAACGTGTGAAAGGCGTAGGAATTTATTTAGCTTTCTGAATTCGAGTCACACCCCCTCGGTTGGCCCCGTGTCGCACGCTGGCCTTTCTTACCTCGTACATACACGCACCCTCTCCCCTGTATTGTGTACAAGGGCGGCGGTTCCCGACGGGGGTTGAATCTGACCCCTCTCTAGTATTGTGTTACCGTGTCGCCACCTTTGGGGTAGAGAACACCGGGGATAATGTTATAGGGCTAACGTTTTATTGCCTGCCCACTCTATTTGCAGTCACCCCGGGGGATAAACTGCCTCAGAATTTCAAAAACAAACTACCAAACATTATCCTGCCTGTGTCTCAAAAAATCATTCCAATTAACCCTCACTTAAAACGGTATTTCATATTTGATACATTTTGTAGCGATTGATAATTCTGAACCGACTCTGGAAAAATTCTTATCAATGATTCTGAGAAATAATTTAAATATGCAAAGTATATCAGACACGAATGACGGTCGCTTGCAGTTTAAGGGTTGAAAATGATTTCAAGGGGCATTTTCTTCCTGCTCAGACGAGCACCTTTGACATCAGCCTGAAGTGGATATTTTTAAACGTTGTCGGCGGAATAGCTAGAAGGAGAGGTGTCGAGTGTCGTGCCTGTACAATGATCTGTCACCGAGTGGAAACATTATAGGGAAAAATGCAATCGGGAGTTACTGTCAGATCGAATTAATGCGAGCGCTAAGGTTTCGCGGGGTGCATAACGAGCGCGTTTCTCGAATTTCACGGGTGCATTCCCCGTGGCCGGTGAGTAGGAACACACCGACTACTGCACCCTGCGCCGAGATCGTTCCGAAGTAATTAGCTAGGACACCGGAGAGGTTTTACGCAGTTTCCTCGACCGCAAATCTTTTTTTCACCTTTTGCTGCGAGTTACGGTCCGGCAATGCGTAGCGTTTCGAATGTCCCTCATCGATGCAATGGAATTTTCGGATACCAAGCCTTACGTTCCTCCTCATATCAATGACAATTATCGTTGTACATTTATTACTCTTATGCAATAAAAATTATGCGTATTCTGTCTTGATATTCATTAAGCATAAAATCTGATGATCAAACAGTGAGAAATACAACAGTTTAAGAGTGGAATCTAATATCTGTAATGAATTGTTTAGGTTTTCGTGTTAATAAAAGATTAATCGATTCGAGGAGTCGAATGTTGATTCATGAACTGAGATGATCGAAAGAAAATAAGATTGTTCGTTACTAGTACTTAGAAATGAGGACATTGTGAAAGGGGAAAGATTAGTCTAGAGCAATGAGTAGCTTACCCTAATTGCGGCAGAGGGGGAAGTAGTACCTAGTCCCGAGACTTGCTTCAACTTCAAATCGGATTTACTTGTACATGACAAATCGAATGTTCTCCTGCGTGCGTTGACCGAAAACCAATAAAAACTACGACCAGTTACGATCTTAACAGGGATTTCAATTAACAAATTTCAACGTCAAACGTCATGCAGTAGAAATGCTTCGAATTTTTACTGTTATCTATCGTAACGTACCAACGTGATGTAGTGAACTAAGCAAGAATATACGTTTCCGTTTCCAATTCCATTTACTTAGAGTTAAAATATGAATTAGTTCTAATAATGGAAAATTGATCACGGTAACGCATGATGGGAAACACCGAAAGTCGGCCCTTTCTGACATCAAGGCCGCGGGAGCGTGGTCACGCAAAAGTCGTGTTAGCGACTCGCCAAGTGGCCTCCTGGCAGTCGTTGTCGCTCGTCGGGGCGTACACCCTCGTGGCTCGTGTAGGTGTGCGAAGTCGCGTTCGTGACGCACGCTCGCGTGTTAATTGCGACTGCATTCGTCTAAATATGCTTCGAAGGAAATTTCGGCAAAGCCAGAGATGTGCCAGCGTCAATTAACCGCGGTGACGTCGACGAATAGACAGGTTTTTTTCTCTGGCGCCGCCGACGCGGCATCGGGTAGAAAAGTACCGTGTAGATCGTTCCCTGTGATCGAGTTAATAACAACCCCGTTAGAATCGAAAATCACCGGAGGAAGTCGTTAACTGTTCTCCGTATCTCGGATACAGAAACCGTTCGCTTTAGCTACCGTAAACATAATTTTATCGGTACGGAAAATGGCCGTGGGACTATAGAGTTTTCACAATACTGTACTCCGCGTGGAAGGCAATCGGGGTAGATTATCGTACGGTTAATTTGCAACACGTGCAAACCGTCCGATGTTTACAAAGCGGACCGATCTTAGATCGAAGATTAAAGCGAACATGATTAATTATTCGAGTGTTCTTACGGAATTATGCTTCTGAAACAATACATCCTGACCCGATTAGCTCGAGATGCTCGCGTAGAACGACGGGTTAGCCATTCTTCGTTAGCGATCTTCCATCTTTCCATTCGCTCGACATTTAGTTATTCTTCGATTTACCTTTCGGATGATTTACTTGACGGGTTGCACCGTCTGCGATTCACTTTCACAGCCGTACAGTTTCCAATGCAATAGGTAAGAATTTGCCTCTTTAAGGGGGTAGCGCAAAGCGAGGTCAGCACTGTCAACGTTGGAACGAGGTAGTTAAGAGGATTTGCGAACGCGAATCTCGTTAAGCGAACGTTGAAAAAGCAACCGAGCGAATCCCAACGACGACGCAACGCGTGTTCGACCGTTACGATGGAATGTTTAGGAATAATCCCACTAACCTGCCGATTCGTCCTCGTCTGCCATCACAGTTTTACTATAGGATTATCTGTACGATGTCATTTCCGATGTACGGTTCGCAATTAATTTCATCCTTTGCAGAATCGTTCAAAAGTTTTTCGTCGAAAATGTCAAATCCGTTCGCTGGCAACGGCAATACCCTCGGCTTTGACGTTTCCATTCTGGGTCTCGGGCCTCGATTATTCGGAGCGCGGATTAATCCCGGGCGAGATAGTCTCGTCAAAAAGCTGACAGCCGGTTCTCGTTTGTCAGGGGGTGCGAAAAAAAAAGAGAGACGCCGCGTAAAAGGGGAGGTAAGGAGGAGCGAGAGGCTCGTTTCGTCTCGGCACGGCTCTCATAGAATGTCCTAATCCGCGCGGAGATCTAAACGGTTGCCAATCATTTCCGGTTCTCGGATTAGTCGCGCGCGAAAAGTCGTGTCGGTTCCCTTGCAAGGGCGTGAAACTGAACTGGCGGACCTTCCGGCCAACAATGCTCGAATGTTGGCTTCGTAAGCGGATTATAAACGATTTGTACACGCGCCCGAAAACGTCTCCATCTCTCCAGCCCGACTGACTTTCCACGCGTTTCTCTCCTTTCAGCTATAAAACCTTAAAATACGTTTTAAATCGATTAGCTGCCCGAGTCAAATGGCTCTTAGCAAAATTTGTCTCCACTTTCTGCTGCGTATTTCAATCTTACATAAAATTATAAGAGATCATCATTCTTAATTTCGTGCGACATGCGTCACGCTGTTTTAACGTAAAGAGAGTCTTGCATCGATCGGGGAAAAAAAGAGAAGCGTGTCCGACGGCAATTAACATCGTAGCTATTTTTTTAAATCGGCCCTCGTTAATCGTTCATTGGATTGAACGAGCGAAGCAATTACTGCTGCGAGATTAGATAGGCGTGCACGGAAAACAGCTTTGTGTACAAGTTAACGTTTTTAAAGAGCGATTCCTTTTTTTTTTTCTGGTTTTACCGGGGAAAAAACATCGGCGAAGAAAAAGCGCGGGCAAACATCCCGTTAGCGATGCGTGGAATAATTACCGGGCGACGACGTTTTGCAGCGTGATCGCGACGAAGCACGTAGGCGGGACGTATCGGGAAAAAGTTGATCGACGGAGAGCAAGATATAACGCACCTTATCCGAAGAAACGGTGTCCGCGTCGAGAGCTCGTTGATAGATCGGGAGGATGGATCTCGGCGTGTATAATCACCGGTTCGATCGTCCGGAAAGCGTGTTCGCCGGCAATTACAACAGCGTTACTCCTTCTAATTGGCCTTCATTAATTCTTTAGTCGACGGCTGGTGCCACGATTAGCCGCGTGTGAGGTTAACCGCGACTGATAACGACCGTATGCATACACGTTATTCGGAGAAAAGACCGCGATACGTGCTTCTCAATTTCAAAACTATTTCTACTTGGAATTTTTAACGGAATCATCGTCCGCCAATTTCATTAATAAAATGTAATTGACTAAGGAGTAAGAAAATAGTCGCGTATTGAAGTATCGTTTGCTGTATCGGGTGAGCTGCAATCGCATCTATTCTTTTGAATGATGTTAGTACGCGAAGGAATGTAACGCTGTTGCAGGGGAGATCGGTATCGGAAAAATAACGAGGCAAGGAATCCGCGATTCAACCGCGAGTAATTGTTTAGAGGAGGATAAAAGGTTGTTTTTTGCAACGTGGGGAGAGAGAGAATGAGAGAGAGAGAAGATCGGTTATTCGGTTCTCACAGTCGGAAGCAGTATTAGTGCTCGGGACCGTGTCTCTAATCACGTAGCCGTAGTCATGCGCGTAATTGTTCTTAATGTACTTTTTGTGGGAAATAAGCCGATTACGATGTAAGCGTATGAACTTAGCCTCGAAGGAAAGTACCGCGGAGCCATCGTCGATCGACGGCACCAACGGCAACGGGCAACGCGGGGCGGGACGGTAAAAAGCCGGTTGCAAATTGACGGAAATCGTCCCTGAATGATTGGTATTAGCCGTCTTCTCGTTGAATCGTCGCGGCTCGAAAACCAGCCGAGATTGACAAATGTCCGTAATTACCTGTTTTTTGGCCGGTAATCGTAACTCGAGAAACATCTACGGCGAGTTAATCGCGAGAGGAAGTCCAGTCCGATTGAACAAACACGCGGGAACGATCTCGCGTGTTTTCCGGCTAACGCATCAAGTACGAAAGGTATAAACGGGAACGGGCGGGGAATAATGGACGGAAGTGTCGAAATGGTCAGCTTTGGGATTCCATTAACCCGAAAAAACCGCAGAGGCCTCTAATTAGGGGACGAAGCACCGAAAAATCGTTGCCGTTCTATGAAATTTCGAAAGCGGAATCGATCAGGAGATATTACGGCTCGGGGTGTTGGGTACCCTGGTGGGTCAACAGCCGGAGAGTCGTTGGTCAATTAGAGGACCGAGGTAAACTCGCGATAGGTAACAGGTCGGAGATGATGAATGAAGCGTCAGGCACCTCGATCCATTCCTGATCCCTAAAAATTTATTGTAATTTAACTGGCGAGATTTATCTTCTGGCTATCCTCCTCAACTTCTTCTTTCTATTAGAAAAGGTTTCTTCTGTGCATTCTAATATCTAATGAAAGTATATCCACTATAAAACGTTCTCAGTTTCCCTTCTGTAAGAAACGAATCCTGACGTAATTTTCTCTTGCTACCAAATAGTCGAGGCGTACGCATTTATTATCGAAAACGGTGAAATCACTTGGCACTGGAAACCCCGGGGGGCTAAACGGCGCGGCGGAAGACGTCTCACGGGCTAGGAGACTTGAATGAAAGAAATAAGGGCAACATAATTAAAGCGTTCGAGCGCCGAGGTCCAATTTGAGACCATTAAAATCCCTAAACGATGCCGGGACGGGGGCTTCCTTTTCGAGAGGGGAAGGACGACCTCTGTGGTAGAGGAAGGTCTTTTATCTCCCGGGAAATATCTGATTCCCGAAGCACGGCAGGGTCGGTCGCGTTTTGTGCTGCTCGCACGCCGGCGACGCGACGGCCGACACGATCTCTCGCCGAGTGGAACATCCGGTCGGGACAGTCGGCCCCATAAATGTCCTTGACACCTCCGTGAAAGTGTACGCGAGCGCGGCCAGGTGAACAAACCGTGTAGCGAAATTAATTTCGCGCCTCTCCTTCCTTTCCTCGCAACTCGTTCCACCGGTTGGACGATTAACCTTAAGGAACGATTAAAGAGCACGTAACGCGACGAATCTCGACGTTACAACGATTTAATCGTTCGTTCGCGGAAACGTTTAGCGAAACCGAGATAAGGCGTGCTTACCATTCGAAGTAACGGAAGCACCGTCGTGATGGCTCGCGTCGCTATCCTCGTCGAGGTTGCTGTTGTTCAAGGATGTCCTCGACTGGTGCCTGACGCTCAGGTCTCTAGGTGTCGAGGGTGGACTCCCGGGCGGCTCTTGGGTCTGCAGTCCCATCTTGCTCGACGCGCCACCCAAAATATCGGTGATCATGAACCGGGATCGCTGAGGCATCGTCGTCGACGCGTCGCCGCGTTCGAGACCGTTGTTCCCGGCGTGATTGTTGTTCCTCGCGTCCAACCCGTTCGACAAACGTTCCATACCGATTCCGTTCCTCTCGACAATGTTCTCCAACCGGTGCGCCTCGAGGCCAGACATCCTGCTAAGGTTTAGACCGTTATTGGCCACGGTGACGCCGCTCCGTGCCGCCACGTGGTGGTTCTGATGATGATGGACCGTCATCACGGTACACGTAGGTGGTTCCTTCGGGCTCCGGGCACCTGCAGGTGCCTCTGTCGCCACCCCAGGACTCGCTCGGTACCTGGGAGACAGAATCTTGCCGACGATGACGGCGTCGCCTTTCGATCAGAAGTCCTCGCACTTCACTGTATCCGTTTTATCTAGCCGAGCACAGTTCTCGTTCTATCCAGCGTATCGCCAAGTCTATTACGAACATTACCACAAGTCCGACACCGTTTGCATTCTAACAGGTTTACGACTAGGAAGCATAGGAGATGATCGTTCGATTTCGAAGCGAGAATCGAGAGTAAATGGCGCGTGAGATGGTTGCGATGCACCTTGCGCTTCCTCCCGTTCACTCGGTCGCTCCACCTCCGCCTCCACCTTCTTCTTCTTCCTCTTCTTCCTCTTCCCCGCAATTAAGGGGCCGCTCCGTTGGTCTCCTTGGTTAATTGCTAATTGGCCACTTAACATAATTGCCTCGCGTAACAGCCAGATCGCCGGCCATTTCCGCTTTCCTTTTTCTATCTTTTCTTTAATTATTAATTAGATTCTTTTTCTCTCGACGATCCCTCTCGCTTTTCCGCGAATCCGCTGCGTGATCCAAGAACCACTGCGGCGCACGTTGCACCGTTAAATAGCCGCTGTCACGCCAGCTACACGTCGCGTTAACCGCTCTACTAACGAGCAACTCAAACCGAGTTGGCCCGAGATCAGACACTTGATTGTTCGATCACTGCTCGCACTATCACCGGTTTTCTTCTGTCTCTCCTTCAACATGAAATTCTCGATACAAAAAAGAACTCGATTCACTGTGTCCTTTTCAATCTTCTCCGTTCAACGATCTCTGGTACGCGACACTTAAAAAAAAACCCGGCGTCGATCCTCTTCGATCCGCGTTCAGCCAATCGTTACGATCGATCGTGTCGCGCGGGAAATTTCGAAATCGATATCGGTCGCGCGTCGATCCCCAGAGGCGAATGTTGCGTCTCGTCGGGGCTTCGTGAGCGTACTCTGAGACGAGGCGTGCGCCTGCATCGGTTTGCCTCGACTGATCTGCTCGCACTGAGCGGACCAGGCGCCTCCGCTCGTTCCTGGGCGGCCATATCGGTGTTCTGGCACGCCCTGAGGTTTCCCTTCTTCGTGTTCGTTCGAACCAATCGTTACCAGCGGCGCTAACCAGTTGACCAATCCGACTCACGGCAACCTCGGCGCCTTCGCTACGTGCCGCGGCTACGCCCAACTAATTTGAAATGTGTTTCAGCGGTAATTCGATATAAAATTGTAGTTAATATCTTTCATTATAGCGCCGGGAGGGGGTCGCGAGAACGGAGTGGGGCTCGTTCCGAAGGGGAGCTGGAACCCGGTTCGGAAGGGGTGGAAAGGGGAGAGAGAGAGATTGATACGAACGCGCTTCTCCCACTTGCCGTTGCGTTCTCGTTCTATCCACGGGTCTCGTTCGAGAGATCGGTCCCCGGAGCAGTCGAGCGGGAGGAGAGGTCCAACGCGACCACCTGGAAGGGGTTGAAGAGCTATCGAGGCCGAAGGGTGGTCCTAGCTTCTACCGTCGGAGAAAATACCACCAACTTGTACTCTACGATTCTCTCGCCCGTGATACAACGGACGATACTACTTACTCGCCGACGATTCCCTCCCTCCCCGTTGCTCTTCACCCTCTAGTCGTTTAGGTACAATTCCGATAAATTTTGTGCGAAACGTTCTCCGAAAGCGCGTTGTTAAGCTACTGTTCTACAGGATTCTATTATACAATACAACAGTATATTTAAAGCTGAGTACACTTGTTGAAAACAATTTGTGAAAATCGGTGTTAGAAACACGTAGTATACAGAAATATAAATTAATCATGAGTAACTTAATCTGTATCTGTGAAGATATCAACTATTCTCACGTTCTTCATCCCATAGTCGTTTGAGTATAATTCCGATAAATCTTGTACGAAACATTCTCCGAAAGCACGTTGTTAAACTACCGTTCTACGGAATTCTATTATACCATACAACTGTTTAAAGCGAGTACGCTTCGTCGACCGGGAGGCAAAACGTACTAATTCAGCTAAGTTAGAATGTACTTAATGGGGCGAGCTATGGAAAAGATAATAGTTCGAGCGACCAGCGGAAAATATACTAACTCGACCGATTGCTGAAGAAGGTAATAATTGAATCGAACACTGAAAGAGCGAACACTCAATCGAGCATTATAAGACGTTATAATTACTTTTTCTTAATATTATTTTAAGTTGAGAACACGTCAAAAACTTATAACTAAAAGGTGTATAGTTTTGTGACTTACTGTCCCAATTTCTCTGTCACTTCGCAATTTCTATTAACTGACTTAAGATTACATAAAATCATAAGAAAAATCAGTAAGTAAAAATTGTGACGTGAACAAAAATTGAAACATTTATTATCATCGCCTAGTTGAATTAGTACGTTTTACCTCCCAGCCAATGACTTGCTGAAAACAATTCGTGGAAATCGGTATTGAAAACTCGCAGTACACAGAAATACAGATTAATCATGAGAAACTTAATTTGCACCCGCGAAGATATCAACTATGATCATTTAGTATGTAATTCGATTGATAGATTACATGGATGAACGAAATTAAAAGGAACGAAGAGATGCGTGATGATTTCGAAAGGAAACGTAACTTTCGAGGAAAAAATTTCGCCACCGGCGGATCACTGAATCGGATCTAACGAGCATCTGGTCCGAAGGTGGCTCTCGCGGTGTCTGCCAACTCCGGTGGCTGTACTTCCTGGTGGAACCTATTCGAGCGTTTCGAGCCCGCCGCTGGAAATTGGTTCACGCTCGGAAACAATACGCGCAACCGTGTCCACGAAGGAATAATAATTATACCGTCGCGTTCTACCGTGCATTAGCATCGGCTGTCACGAAATCGAATTAGCCACGCGACGGTGAACCGAAATGGAAGAAGAATTATAGAAATTAGGGGTAGCGTCATTTAATTGGGGGAGCTACAGCTACTTACGCTTGGGCCCATATGGCGCGGACAGACAATCCGTCCCGTGGATGACCGCGACGACACTCTAAACTGTTCGCGAAACTTTACTTAGAGAGTAACTCGATTTTTCCTTATCGTCCTGACTGCTCTCATCGTTAAGTATTCAGCTATTCGCGTTGACCACGCTGCGTGACGTGTATCATTAAGCGACGATTATTGCGCGCCAGGTAAAAAACGAAACGGTATATCAACGTCCAGTTTTTTTCTTCAGTCCCCCTCTGCCCCCACGGGTTTCCTCGCGTTTCCCCTTTTGTACGAATAAGGCGAACGTGTACGAAACGGTCTTGGCTCGATGGAAAAAAAACAGGTTAACGGAGCCTGTAATGAGACTATCAAAGCGTGACACGATTTAAACCACGGCTGCCGGCCGCAAGGAGGCAGCGCGTACCAAGCCGCTTAGTTTTCCTTCGCTCCCTTCGTTTTGCACCTACGCCCGCTGCCCTTTTGCGGATACATATACGTGTGCAAGTGCACCTGGATACTAAACAGCTAACGCGTTCGTTTGTGGGCGGCTCATTAAACGAACATGAGAATTAGTCACGAGTGGCCGTCGACGCAAGGCGACGAAACGAACGTTTCGCGTCGTTAAACAATAGTGTCGCCAACGACCGTTTTTACAAGTTTCTTCCGCCTAATTTATAACAGTAGCTAACACGGATAACAAATTGTTAGGAAACCCCATTACTAGAGTCCAACTTGTATAGATTCTTATTTTAAAAAATGTTTATGATCTTATCTCTACTATTCGTCCACCTACAAAGTAGCTTACGACACTAAAATGTGCCTCTCTCGAAACGATTCGACATTATGTATAAACATTCTTCGTTAATAATAATAACGACGAGAATCATCTGGTGGTAACATCTAATAAGCCACCGTGTATATTAATTCTGATTTACATATAATTTATGCGTAATACTTATGCAACAGCTTTCGGTCGGGTTGAATTCAATCGCGTTCGATTCTAAAAAATGCATGGAGTTATCTAGGTGTGAACGAGTGCACGTTTAGGTTGAATTTTTAAAAGCTGGACACGACAGCAGATTAACATGGATACACGTGTATCGCGTTTACAGCCTAGACAAGTGTACCTACCCACGTGTCAGTTATTAAATATACATGAGAGTCTCTTCGTTCCCGGTCGGTCGGCAAGACCAAGTGAAAAGTTAAAAGCGTTAAAACTGTTCTCATCAACGTGCAATTGACCCTCATGAATCCTCGGTAACCGACTTCGTGCTAGAACAAGTTTCCAATATTTTGTCAAAGGACCTTTAAAAATCTCCAGTTCTCTATAGTGGAAGACGCGAGGTAATCTCCTCGACAATTTTATTCAGTATAATTCATATAAGTTTCTTCTTATTTCTGATTCCATTCGTGTTCCTATCCGGAATGCTCCTAAATAATTTCTCTTGCCCGAATTTCGTTTTCGGCAACCGATGTTGAAGAAGGCAGCGAACAGCAGATAAACGCTCGAGAATTAACGATCCTTTAAAACGGTCGTAAAATTCGTCCAGATAAGGATCCACCTTCCACTTGCTTCCTTCGTAGAGCCGGTATCGGCCGGCACGCACGAAACGCACTCGCGGGCTCACAAATTACTCCCACGCGCGGCTAACCAACAGTGTTTCGCGCGTGCAACCTGCGTGCCTACGCAGCACGAGCCGATCCTCTCGGAAATATCAAATCCGGTTGAATCGCATCCATTCTACCAGATGAAAGAACGTTTACCGTGTCCCGAGTTTATATGGCACCGTAACGTTTTACAATTGTTTAAAGCTCTCTGTCTTCACGGTTCTTCTTTAGGCCAGTCACAAGGTAACAAATAATACTGCGACAAAAATGAATGGTTGAAATCGTTGCGAATTAAGTAAACGAACAGTTTTCTCAGCAGGCGATTGCTCGCAGTCGTACTGCACGCGCGCGCTGGCAAAGCGAGCGTGAGCAAACACGTGAACGCGCAGGGGCGAGTTGGACGCGGTTGCGAGAGTGTGCGTCGAACACGTACGAGCGCGCTTACGTCGGTGGTAGACCTCATACCGTGTCCAATGCATATTCATACGGCCATACATTATACCGAGAGCGGTGCACGCGGCAGGCCAGAGCTGATCTTAGATTAAGGTAAACGCCGGTTAAGTTAACGGCTAAACTTCCATAAGTCGGAGGTGCTCGCATGCGCATCGCGCTGCGAAAACCGAACCTCAGTTTCTTTCTACCTCTTCACCTTTGACCGCCTCTCCCTCCTTCACGTTTTTATCTCAGTCGCTTTCTGCTCATTCACGCTTTTTCTAACCGAGCTTTTTCTTTCACCCCTTCGCGCGTGTATCCGAGGTTCAAGCGGGCGTGCGTGCATGCCGCCTGGCAACTCGATCCGATCTTACGTTTGTTATGCTAAGTGCTCATTAAGATCGTAATGCGTTCTCGCGCGGTGCAATAGCGGAAATTGGGCGCGAAAGAGAGCCGGAGAGGATGCTTGAACCAGTCCCGGGCTTAATCGAAACTGCAGTTCCTCGCCCGATGCAAATTGCATCGTACAAGAACGCCTTGCATGTCTTTACGCGAAGCGTTGCATCGCTATTCGATGACTTGCAACACGGTTGTGTATTCTTTCAATCAGATTTCGAAGTTTGCGATTCTTAAAACGTTTTTATTTTAAAAACAGATTCTGTGTCTTGTTAATTTAAACTAATGTGAAGCGGTAAATCAGAGAATTCTTGTAACATCAATTCTAAAATTGTCTATTTAATTGTTTTTGCGTAAAAGATAGTTATCTGATTACACTTGAAGGAAACAAATCCTGCTACCGATTTCCTCACTCGGTTCTTACCAACTCATTATTCAGCTACCGAGTTTCCACGAGGTCTGCATGAGAAATTAATTATTAAAGACGGCGCGCAGTAGGTATCGACGGCACGGAAGTTGCCTAAAGAGCGTTGCAAAACGATTCATCGTTGTGTCGAAACGGAATTCGTTTCGACCGTATCTCAGTCGCCCAGCTTAATAACCGTTGCGTTACAAATAGGACGAGCAGTCCCTTCTACTTTTTTGTTCTTTCGTTTGCCTAAAATGATTTTCGCGTTATTAGTTGTGTTCGAGATTTTCGTCGACACAATCGCGTCAGTCGAACGATTAAAGGGTACCGACGAACACGAGATCCCTTACTCGCGTATCCGATTTCGCCTAACAATAAGAGCCTCCATTACGGCCAATTTGCATTGATAGCGAGGCTCGATAACCTTGAAGCCAATCTAAGAGCCACTTTGCGCCTCGCACCCTCTCAACTTTCATCGATATCATCAAGCAAATAATCCTACTCTTAAAACTCTTTCCTCAATTCTTTTCCAATCAATCTTCCCTTTAATAATCCATATAATTTCTTCGTTCACGCTTCCGAACGTGCAACGTTTCCCATGATTATTGATAGAAAGATTTATTATGTAAGTTTTGTCATTTTCGTCGAGTCATCGGCCAGTCGATTTCGTTTAGGGGTTGATAGGGCACCCCATGTCCATTCGGGAGCGCAATCTCGAC